CCAGCCCCCCCCGTTCCCGGGCTCTGGTGGCGAATTCCAGGAGGGAAGTGCAGGACCCACTCCCTCGTTAGTCTGCAGTTCCAGCGATTCGGGGGCGCGGGGTCCGGGTGGGGAGGACACGCTCCAGGTTTTTAGCAGCTTTATCCAGGCCTGGAGCACGTGATGGGAGACGAAGTGCCACGGGAATGGTGACATCCCAGTGATGGGAGACGAAGTGCCACGGGAATGGTGACGTCCCAGAGGTGCCACAGCCACCGTGAGGCCACTCCTGGGCGGTTGTGCTGCTCTGCTGCTCCTCCCTCCCTCCGTGTCCAGAGCCAGGTCAGTGCTTCCATCTCTGCTCTGTAAGTGCTATTCCACGGGAGGTGGGCTCGTGGAGATGGGAATGACGCCTGTGGCACGGGCTCCACCCCTCTCCCCGCTGGAGAAAGCTGCTGTTTTGTAACAGCCGCTCTCCCGAATCCCGATTCCCAAACGGAGACACGACCACGCGGCTCTAGAACCTGAGCTGCACATTGGTTTTATTCCCTAACTATTCTGGGAGTCTGGGATGGGGAAGGTGGCCTTTAACGTTAGCAATGGAATTGGCCTAAATGAGTGAGGTAACAGAAACGGCCAGAGGAGGAACCTCCCTGAGCCATGTGCAAATATAATTCCTTCAGCAGAAGGAAGTCCTTTTCCCTACTGAAAAAAAAAAAGTAAAACACATTCACTTAAAGAGCATACAGACTGCAGGAGGGAAAGGCAGGCAGGGACAGCACCAGGTCAGTCCATCTATGACACAGGGAATGATTGTCCAGCAGCAGAGGTTTGAGGGGAGAGGGAAAAGCCATAGCAAGCACTGCAAAACGTGGGAGAGGAGGGCATGGCACACCACGTACCCATGCTAAGGGATAAGCCCATGCTGTCTGCCTAGATCAGGGAATGGCCTCAACCAGCAGTCCATCAAGACACGAGGAGATTATTTGGCCAGTGTGCACATCTAGAAAAAGGAAGGTATTATGGCACAGAGAGACTCGTGCTGTGGAGACTGCGAAGCACAGAGAGCAGAGCGTGTCCGGGGGGAGACGGGCTGGGACATCAGCACAGGAACCACGCTGAGACAGCTGCTCTGTGAGCCACTCACCTCGGGGGCTTTGGTTTGAGACTCTCTGCTTCGAGTTTTGTGTTGAGCAAGCCCCTGCCAGGAGTTTTAACTAGTGCTGAGACTGGCTGAAAAGACTAAGTCAGAGAGTCCACGTGACTGTGCCATGAAACGTGTCTGTGGCAGCAACCCTGGCAGGGATCCCACCAGGAGATCTCCTGGAGTTGAGCAGGGATCTGTCAAGAGCTGTGGGATGACAGCAGCTGGCTGGGAAAACAGGATGGAATTGCTTCCCCCTGAGCCAGGCACTGTTCTTCAAACAGCAATTTTCAGACTGATTTTTCTGCACGCTGTGGAAGCAGAAAGTTCCACCTCTGAATTAGGAAGTGGTTTGTTTCTGTCCTCACTGGGAAAAGCAGACACTGACTGAGAGAGTGCTCCTGGTTAGAACAGTTAGTTAGTGCAGCAAATCCAAAAGGTCTTGAGCAAGTACCCAGACCAAAAGTGTCTCCAGTCACTACCTGGAAAAGAAATTTCTACCTTCTTGTATAAAGGTAAGAAAAAGTTTCTTATGTAGGACACATGGACAGTGCTGAGGAGGCAAGCAGGCTGAAAAGTCTGTCCCCATCTACACCCAGATGAGCTGCTGAACAGGGTCTGTCTGATAAGAACACAGACCAGCATTCCAAAATCAGCATTCCAGCTTTCCTAGAGGAGATATGCCAATGCAAGGCATCATTATTTCAGAGCCAGTTTTGTGCCAGGGCTTCAAATCCAGCAAAGCTTTGTGCTTTGAAACCCTTCCCCTTTTAATACAGGCTCATGTTCCACTAAAGGCATGTTGCATATCTCTGAGGTTTGTCTTTATTAGATCTAAAGCAGACAAGAGGGCTCAGGTGTCACCCAGCAGACAGGCACAGCCTGAGCTGTGTGTAAATGCAGGCTCTCTCAGCAGCAGTTCAGGTGTGTTAGGGGAGATCAAAGCCCCGTGACTTCTTTTTTTTCTCTTCTCCCAAAAGACTTGAGGGAGCCAGAAAGGATTTATGCAGAAGTTGGTGTATGTTAATATCAATTAATATCAAAGTTTTGTGACTGAAGCATGCCTGGGGTTATCAGCAGAGCACCCAAAAACATGGTTATCCTGTCAAATCCACAGCTCACTCCTCTCCTGACCACTGCAGGTACCTTTTTCTCTCCTAAGTGGAACGTGCAGCCCCAGCACTGCCCCTGTCTTGGGCATCTTACACCTGGAATAACCTGTCTTTTGGTCCTCCCCAAGACACAGGTGCTGCACTAAATACATCTGGAATGCCTGATGGCACAGCAGTTATCCAGGCCTCAAATCCACCCTGAGCTCATCCCAGATGCCATAACCCCAACAGCTCCTGCAAGGTAAGCATTAGGTGTGTGTTCATCAGAGGTGAGGTTGTATCAGGCCAGGATCAGTGAGTTATGTCCCTTCTGCCATAAAAACAGATACCCAAACTGGCAGATTGAAGCCTCCTGCTCCCCCTTCTCCCTCCTCCCACAGGGGAGCATCTCACTTGGCAGGAATTGGGCTCCTACCTGCTGGCATTAGTTTGCATGCCTGGCTGGAGAAATGCCTTTTTAAAAACCCCTGGGGTTTTTTTTTATTGTTCCTATCCTGCAAATCAAACCCCAGCTGTGCTCACCTGGCAGATGTGCAGAGTGGGAAGGTCAGAGGGAGGGCTGGGCAGGGAAATGTGCCTGCCACGAAAATAATGTGGGATTTCTGGCACAGATGAAGTGCAGAAGCAAAACCCTGACAGTGGAAGCCAAGCTACGACTTGGCTGGGATGCTGAGGGAAGTACCACCCCCTGGAACATTATTCAGGTTGCTCAACCTCACTCCTAAAAAGCATTGCTGATTTCTCCAGGAAATACAATCATGGTCCCAAACTGTCTATGGCTCCAGAAGGAATTAACCTGTCAGCTGGGACTGATCAGGAGCAGGTGATTCCTATCACAGCTTTCTACACCAAGGCATCGAAGTGAAAATACCCCCAGGTTTTGTTTAAGCCCTTACCTTTAATCTGAGCTTTGTTTGAGCCCTCACCTTTAGTGCCATTGTGGGTTTTGCCTTGAGAAAAAGACCTTGCTTTTCCCCTTTTTTATTATTACTGTGATAAATTAAGAGGCAATAAAAGATCAAGGATCCTATCCAACTCCAAGCCAAGTGGGAAAAAGAAAGTGAGTAACTAGAAATCTTGAGAAAAAGAACCCCAAAGCCTCAAAGACAAACCTCCCTCTGCCTGAAGGATGCTGCAGGTACAAGGTTCTGGTTGGTGCCCAGAACAAAGGATTTAACGTTGCTGTGTGTCAGGAGAGATGTCAGATGTTAAAAATCCAGTCTGATGTGCAGGTAGAATAAATATTAGTGCTTGAGATTGTTACAGCTGCCAGTGCAGCCTCACATTAACTTAACAGAGCTTGTGCAAGGCTGTCCCTGGGGCCCAGCCTGAGGGAGGGAGGGAAGGAGGGAGTCAGAGGGAACGTCCCAAGCCTAAAGCCATGGCTAAAGCTGGAAGGATGCTGCAGAGGAAGGATGCACTGATGAGGGAATGGATTTCTTGCCTCCCTAACTATAAAGAGAGTGTGAAACTGGTGAGAAACCAACCCTGACCAGCAGCCCTTGCTCATAACCCCCTGGGACAGGAGGGTTTCTCTGCCTCCTGACTGATCAAATCCACCTAGGGACAAACCCCTCCCAGCCAGGTGGAAGAGACCCCAACATCCCAGCTGTGTCTTTCAGGATGTTCCTTTTGCTTTCCTGGCATGGGCAAGGTGAACCACAGGGCCTCCTCCCTGTCCTCTTGCCTGGTGCTTGAAATTAAAGTCTAGAAAAAGGGGGAAGATGGGCAGCGGGGGAATTCTCTGTGCTTAGCAATTGTGGGAGGGAGTAATGGGGGAAACAGGACTCTGGGACAGTCTGGCAAGTCACAGTGGGGAGTCAGGGCCCTCCTGTCCCAAGATGAGCCACAGAATGCCCTTCCCAGGCACTAGCACCTCAGTGTCATTGTAGAGCAGCCATTTCAGCAGCCTCCCTGGCAAAAAGTCAGGGAGCAGTACAGTAGTCAGCAGCATTAAATTAAATAAATAGTCATAAATACACATTACTCTCTAGTTTTTCCCCAATTGTACCTTGCTTTCACAGTCTTAAATGTCTTTTTGATAACCTGTCTTCATCCACACTCCTTCCCATGTGAGTCTTCTGTGGGACATGTTGTGTTTAGCACTTGGTCATGGAAATTGGAGGCAGGTTGGGAGAAAGCAGCAGGTTGGTCACTCCTACATATATGACCTTTCCCTAATTGGAAACTGGGAGCTTGAGAGGGTTTTAGAAGCCACTTTGTCACCCAGTTGTGAGGATGAGAGTTTACATGAGACCAGTGACTCACCCTTGTGTTCCCTGCCCTTTCAGTGCCCACTGGAGACAACAGAGGAGCTACAGCTGGCACCATTTCCACACTGGGAACTTCCAGCTGCCACTCAGAAAGTGGGAAAATCCTGCTGTTGGACAGGGTGGAGATGGAGGGCCTCACATGTTCACCTAATCTGCCTGGCTGGGCAAGATGACAAAGCATTTATTAAACATTCACACGAGCAGCCTCCAGCTCAACCAATCCCTGTGGGGCCTGGGACTCTGCACAGGGCAGCCCCACTGCCCCTCTTCCTCATGGGGCTGCTCACGAGAGTCTGGAATTATCCCCCAGAACAACTACAAATACATATTGGCTTTTCAGTGCAGCTCTACCCCCTGACTGACTCACAGAGCAAATGCTTAATGAGAGAAACCTTCAGATGCCTCACACCATGGACACCCCCAAGCTCTGTCCTGCCACCCACTGATGGTCCTTTTTCTCTTTTCTCTTTTATCCTTTTTTTTTTTTTTGTCCCTGTGACCCTTCCTCACCTCTCCTGGGTTTTTGGAAGCCTTGGTGCACACAGATGCAGTCACAGATACCCACAGTGGTGGCTGTTGCTGCATAGCCACAAACATGTAAGTTTATCCCAGGGAAGGAAATCAAGTTATTTTTCTCACTAATGTTTTCCCACAGATTTTATAAGACAAGATACGAACAAAATGGTCTTGTAGACCAGGGGCAGGAGAGAGATTTGCTGAGCTGGGCAGTGGCTGCACATAAATCCTAATTTGGGGTTTGTTTTTCGGTTGGGGTACTCCCACCCTCGTGGGGAGTTGCCTGTTCAGCACAGATGTAGATTTTCAGCACGGGGATGGCTTTATGGCAGGGGCCCAAGCACATGGAAAGCAGAGAACTACAGCCAAGGTAAAGGGGACACTGTCACAGGGGTGGCCCTGCTCCACCCACACACCTTGGGGGCAGGTTCTCCCCTCCCCACCCTCTCCTCGCCTCTTTCTGCTGCACCAACAGCAAATTGGTGCTTGTGGACAGCATTTCAGCTCCTTTCCATCCTGGCCTTCGCCCTCTGAACCAGGCTGGCCCCTGTGACAGCCAACTGTGTTTCTGCACCCAGGGGTGCAGGAGGTGACTGCCAGGGAGACCTGCTCTCTGCAGACCTACAGCAACTCTCCCCGAGGCCTCCTCTCCAACCGTGGGACAGTTCTGCAAGGGGTTGACTGCCATGGCCAAACCCTCTCTGCCCTGAAGCCAGCAAGGTCAGGGAGTTGACAGTGTCCCCTTTTTATGCAGAGATAAATACAGTCAACCAGGGACCCTCATGCGTGGGGAGGGGGCTGGGGAGGGGGGGGGGCACTCACGCTGATGCTTCCCTTTGGAACAACAAAAACTAAACAGACAGACAGACAAACAGCCAGCAATATTACAGAGGAGCAGTGCAGGGCCCAGGGAGCACCCCTGGGCTCGGCCCTAAGCACAGCTCAGTGCTGGGAGAGCACAGCCCTCCCACACACACCCCCCCACTACCAGAGACACTCCAGTTCAGCCAGTGTTGGAGGTCAAAACCCTTCCCCTCGATACGTAGGCTTTGTTTTGTGGTTTTTTTTTTTTCTCTTAAAATCTGTATATAATATATATATTTATATTCTGTATATATATATATATATTTATATATATATTTATATATCCTATTTACACATATTGCACACCGTCCTCTGGCCTCCTGCATTCCTGCCTGTCAGTGGAAACGTTTCCGTTTCTCCTCTGGATCTGACCCGAAGTCCCGGGACCCGATGCCATTCTGAAGGTTTATTAGGGAATCCTTCATCTGCAAGACAAGAGATTTTCCCCACTGTGATGCAACCCTGGAGGTGAGAGCTTTGGGACTTCCTTCTTTTCCCTGTAAAGTGTCCACACCAGATTCAATTTTGGGAGCAGGGCTGGGATGTACAAATGGGCACTGAGAAGGTGGGAGACTGTGAGGCACCTTTCTCCAAAAGAAAGGGTGAGAGAACGAGGTTCAGGAGGAGCAGCTCTGATTTATGGATTATTTTCTCAGCAGCCTGCTGTACAAAAGGTTTTTTAGGCAGTGGATACTGAAACTCTGTGCTGTGAAGGGCCCATGCAGAAGGTGTTCCCTTCATCCACGAAACCTATGTGTGAATCCAGAGCTGAGGTAAAAAACAGTCTTTCTTCCAAACTGGGATGCCACAGACTAGATTCAAAATGTAAGATCTTTTGCCAATGTAAGATTTTTTTTGCCCCTGTAGAATTCTCTCCTCCTCGTGTGACAGAGAGGCTGTGGCACCCTGTGACAGCCCCTGGACCTGCTGCCCACCATGAGGGGAGAAGATGGGTCTGAGGGAGACACCGGTGGAGGTGACACACCTGAGGGACCACAGTGGAGCCAGGGAATGCTGCAGGGTTGGGAGCAGGGGGTGGGAGGACAGAGGTCCTGGAGCAGGTCCAGAGGAGAGCAACGAGGCTGGGGAAGGGACTGGAGCACAAGTGCTGTGAGGAGAGGCTGAGGGAGCTGGGGCTGTTCAGCCTGGAGAAGAGGAGGCTCAGGGGAGACCTCCTCACTCTCTGCAACTCCCTGCCAGGAGGGGGGAGCCAGGGGGGGGTTGGACTCTTTTCCCAGGCAACTCTCAGCAAGACAAGAGGGCTGGGTCTTCAGCTGTGCCAGGGGAGGTTTAGGTTGGATATTAGAAAGAATTTCTTTGCAGAGAGGGTGCTCAGCCATTGGAATGGGCTGCCCAGGGAAGTGGGGGATTCTCCATCCCTGGAGGTGTTTAAGATGAGACTGGATGTGGCATCAGTGCCATGGGCTGGGAACCACAGCGGGGTTGGATCAAGGGTTGCACTTGATGATCTCAGAGGTCCCTTCCAACCCAGCTGATTCCATGATTCTATGACTCAGGTCCCAGCCCTACCTGGCCGTGGGGTCTCACCTGGTCCAGCAGCATCACGGAGGATTTGATGATCTCCCGCCACTTCTGCAGCTCCGAGTCGTGGTACTTCTGCTGGGACTCCAGTAACTGGGCCCACTCTGTCTGAGACTGGGGCAACCTGGCAGCACAACACGGGCAAGAGTCACCCTGGGCAACCTGCAGTGGGTGTAACCAGCTTCTGGCTAAGCTTTTCACCCCAAAGGGGCACGTTTTCTTGAGCAAAAGTGCATTTAAAATGCTTGGAATTTCAATCAATTGGATTCCGTGGTTTGCTTTTTCTAGACATGCTGTCAGTCTTTATTCATCCCATGTAATTTGTTCAGGACTTTCTCTTTATTTTGAATTAAAGCTGCACTGGCTCTCTTTCCCATGGCTCTCTCTCTTCCTTCAGGCCCAATTAACCCCCCCAGAACAGGGTGGGAGGCTGCTGAGGAGAGAGGAATCAGGACAGATGGAAGCACTCAAGGGGCTTGGAGAGGTTCAGATACTTCCCCAAAAATCATGGATGCAACACAAAACTTACCTGTGTGGGGCAGGGAAAGATGTACCCATGTAATTCCAGAACATGCACATTACAGGATGTATGTTCTGTACTTAAATACTATATTGTAGTAGTCTAAACAAACACCAAGAGTACTAGAGAAAGACAAAATCACTTAAAGTATCTATAATCACCTAAAGTATCTATCCATGGGAAAGTAGCGGGGCTATTTTGGGGAAAATAATAATTCTCTAATAATACCTCTCCTGCAGCCTCAAGCCCTGCCACGCTGTGAGGGTCTGTGTAGTATATTCCAACATCCAGAGTTTGTAGAACAGCATCATATTGAGAATGACCAGCAGCACCAGACTGGAAAGAAGGAGAACAGTCAGTTTAGCAGGAGCACTTCACAGCCCATTGCCAGGCACACCTGGGAAATGCCCAAGGCTTGAGAAGGTGTCTGAGGCCCAGGTCCACCCTGGATGTGAGTGGGAACTTAAATCTGAGTAAGGACCAGGTGGTCAGAACCCAAAACTGCACCTCGTGGAAGAAATGCGTGAGCAAGGACAGAGAGACAGAAAGACAGGGATGAGGGATCAGCCAGAACAGGTTGGATGGGTGGATGTGCTGAATGCAGAGAAAGAGAGGGAAATGGGAGAGTAAAGAGGTAAAAAAAGAGAGAGACAGTACCTGAAACAGATCCTAATGGGAGCAGGGAAGAGAAAAGACGGAGCAGCTGCAGGTTAGAAACGGACTGACACAGACCAGGAGAAACTGGGCTGAGAGAGGAGGCTCAGAGACAGTGCAGGAGGTACAGGGGGGCCAGGGGAGGAGAAAGGAACAGTGGGAAGAGAGGCAGGAAGGACAGACAAATACCCCTGTGCCTGCATTCCTGGTGCAATTCACCCAGCAAAGCTGAGCTGTGGCTCTGGGGGACGAGCCCCAAGTGTGCCCACGAGGGCACCGTGTGACACACAGCCAGGCTGCACACAGCCAGCCTCACCTCCTCCCAGCACTGCTGGCACTGGGAACACCCCCACAGCCAGACCCTGCACTGCTCCTCTCACCCACCACCACCACACACGGGCATTTCCTCTCCTCCTGGGGAACAGATTCCAAAAATACCAGGCTGGTGCCTGTCTCTGAACAGAGCAGCTGTTCTGCTGGAAGAATGGCCCACTATCACCAGCTCAGTCAGGAGGAGGGCAACTGGCCAGGAGAGTGTTCTGAAATCATTATCAGGGCTCTCTGACCTAAGTGAAGCTCACAGCCTGTCAGGAGATGTTTTCATAAAGCTTTTTTGTACCTTTCTACTGTTTTCTTATCACAACAGGACTTGACATCACCTTCCCAGCAACTTGGCTGGGTTGCTGCTGCAAAACTCTGCAGTCAGTGCCCCCACTGGGAAAAGGAAACACAGAAAGGAGCTCAGTTTGAACTATAAGTTCAGTCTAAAAATTCCAGCTTCTTCCCACCTCACTGAAAGGTGGCTGGAGCTTAAGGAAAGACTGAGCCCAAGGCAGAAAAAAACCCCTCTGTACCTGGATTGCTCCTTTAGTCTGCACTGCAGCACTAACACATGAACTAGGAAAATCAACCTCTTGTGCTTCACATATTTCTATCCTTATTTTGAAGAAATCATCTCTAAAGGGTCCAGCTTCTTTTTGGGATGGTATCTCTCGTCCAAATCACCACCCAGGACTAGGTTTTGCCAGACCAGAATTTCCCCACAGAATCTGAACCTTGTTGTGATAGACAATGGCTCCCAGAGAGCTTTGCCTGGTCATTGTTCTTGATAACAGCTGATTTGTGAGCAGAATACATTAAAAGACTTATTTTAAATTTAAAACACCCCACGGTTTATAGATGCCATTGAAAGTCTCTAAATTGAGTCCCTGAAATAAAAAAGACTATCTACTTTTTCTCTTTTTTCTCTCTTTTTTTTTTTCTCTCTTTTTGTGTTTCTTCTCTTTCAGGTATTGATGCCCCTCTCCTTGCACAGCTGCCCTGCTTGCAATCATCACTGTCCCAAACACGTCCCAGACCTGCATTTAGGACTCCCAGAAACATGCAGGTCTACAAAGCCCACGTTTGGTTAAAAAAAAGGGTAAACCTGAGCAGAAAGAAGGGAGCACAGAACAGCAGAAATGCAGACAAACCAAAGCTGTTCAAGGCTGACTGTGAAGGAAAGCAAAAACCATCACTTACACAAAACTGATGACAAGGAGCAGCTTGGAGACACTCTGCAGGTGGAAGCCACTGGGGCTTTCCTCGGGGATGTGCCGTGTCTGAGTGGAACCTGAGGAGATGGATGCATTTAGGACAGGGAATGCTGTCTCTTGTCCCTCTCACAGAATCGACCAGGTTGGAAAAGTCCTCTGAGATCACTGAGTCCAACCTGTGACCCAACACCGCCCTGTCACCCAGACCATGGCACTGATGCCACATCCAGCCTGCTCTTTAACACCTCCAGGGATGGTGCCTCTACCCCCTCCCTGGGCAGCCCATTCCAATGCCTGATCCTTCCCAATGTCCAACTTCTTCCTAACGTCCAACTAAAACTAAAACTTCTTCCTAGTGTCCAACCTAAACCTCCCCTGGTGCAGCTGAAGACCGAGCCCTCTCGTCCTACTGCTGGGAGAAAAGCCTGACCCCCACCTGGCTACACCCTCCTGTCAGGGAGTTGTGGTCAGTGAGAAGCTCACCCCTGAGCCTCCTCAGCCTCTCCAGGATGAGCTCCCCCAGCTGCTCCTCACAGGACTTGTGCTCCATCCCTTCTCTGGAATCAACCCTCCCCGCCCAAAAAAGCACAACACCCCCTCCCTGCCCTGGAAACCAATTCTCCCCGAGCAGGGCAAGCAGAGGTGTCTTTTCTCTCCCTCACCTGCCACGTGCTTGCTGCGGTGTGCCACCTCCTCGTCGGTGGGGGTGGTGACGGGGCTCAGCACCTCCTCCAGGTGTGGCACCCGCAGGTGGGCGTGGGCGCGTTTCCGGCGCCGCACCGTGGATTGCTTGCTCACCTTCTCCTTGGGGGATTGTCTGTGCACCTCGGCCAGGTACGTGCTCTCCGTCTTGGCCAGCTCGCTCTCTGTGCGGGCGGGAGGGGAACATTTCAGGGATGTGCCTTCCAGAGATGTTTCAGGGATTTAAGGCCTCTAAGGGCGCAGAGAAGTTGGCAGGGGCTGAGAGACACGTTCCTTCCACCTCCTGCCAAGCCCTGAGCCCAGACTGCCTGGCAGAGAGCAGGACTCCCTGCCCTGGTTAATCCCAGCTGTGGTGGCCCCTTTTATAAGCCACCCCAAGGTGGGCTCCCCAGGCTGCCACGCCGTGCCTAAACCACTGTAAGTGTAGATACCCTTCTGGAAGATTTGTAAGGAGGAGATGAGGGCTTGTTTCCCTTAGGAAGCCTCTCCTGCCTAAGAAGAAACACTTTTCTCATGGCTAATTTGGATGTTTTATCCTCTTGCCTTAAACACCTCCAGGGATGGTGACTCCATCTCCTCCCTGAGCAGCCCATTCCAATGTCTGATCCCTCCCAATGTCCAAATTCTTCCCAACATCCAACTAAAACTAAAACTTCTTCTTAGTGTCATTCTCTCTCTGAGATGAGGAGAGAGAAACTCATGCAGGCTACAGGGCCTGGGGGGAGGCCAGTAAAGATAAAAAGCCTTGAAGAGAACAGGAGGCCTGTCTTTCTGAGGTTGTGCTTTTTGCAGCACTGCTGAAAGTTTTTTCCCCTTGCAAGCCCAGTGTTCTCGACTTGGGAATAAATTTTCCAGAACTCCTTCCACTGCCTGGCATTTTGGGGGTGGATGTGTGTTATCCTGCTTCCCAACCACGGGAGGTGCCACTGTCTGTGTGTCACTACCACAGTCACTGCCACTCTTACCCAAATGACGGAAATAATCCTCCAGGCCACTCCAAAAATTCTTCTCAATGAAGGATTTCACCAGTCCCCAAGGCTGTTTCCTGTAACGTAACTCCGTGGAAACCCTGTGAGAAGAAAGGATGGTCGTTCTCCCAAGTTTTGAAATATCAACTCACAACCTCTGTCACTGTAAATACCAGAAATAATCCTGCACACTGGGATTATTTCTGGGATGGTCCCAGCCCTTTGTGTTTCTCAAGGAGAAGCACTGCATGGAGAGTCCTTCCAGAGGCAGGAAGAGCCTCTCCCAAAAGGACTCCATGTGGTAGGCAGACATTTAGGCTACTTATTGAACTGTAAGTTCAGTCTACAAGTTCCAGCTTCTTCCCACCTCACTAAAAGGTGGTTGGAGCTTAAGGAAAGACTGAGCTTAAGTCAGAAAAACCCCTCTGTACCTGGGTTGCTCCTTTAGTCTGTACTGCTGCACTGCAGCACTAACACATGATGCTCACCCAAGAGGCAGAGAACCAGCAGATACACCTGGGTTTTAGTAGCAGACTTAAAAAGTCTACAGAAAAAGTCCCAGAAAAGCCTATAGCTCTGCCTGATACCAAACTCCTCTGCTTCTCCCCAAAGTGCATCTCAGAGGCACAATCCCTGGAAATATGTCCTGTTGCTTATCACAGGTAGTTGACTGCACGTGACAACAGGCCCTGCAGACCACTGCTTCCAAGAAAGGGCAGGAGAAGTCTTTAAATCCTCTCCCTGACCTGGCTGGAACTCCCCTGCATCAGGTCTGATGTTTGCTCCGTGTCACCCCAGCAGGAACCTGCCCCTACTCTTTGTGACAGGAGTGTTCCAGCCACAGGACAGAGTCCCCCCTCAACCCCTCCTAACACACCAAACAGCAAAACTCCCACCCCGAGGTGACTTTCTGGTCACCAGAAAAGCTCTTTTAATCCCCCCAAAAAGCCTACCTGAGTCGGCTTTTGTTTCTGGCCACACGAGTCAACGTGTAGCGGTTGATGGTGTAGAAATAATCGTGGTAGGGGACGTCGTGGGTTAGCACCTCTGCATCTATGACATAGCACTCGCTCTCCTGGCTGGCCTTGTACATTGTCTGCAGAAAAGACAGCAGGCAAGGCAACTGTTGGTGTGGTCAGAACACAGCTCTGATGGATGGCACCGGCACAAAACACACACACCCCCATGGCTCTGCCCCAGCTCACCCCGAAGGGAAGGCAGACTCCAGGAAACCAAGTGTTTCACCTAGATGTTTCCCAAGGGTGTATTTCAAAATGTGTATGTATTTCAAGGGTGTATTTATGTTCCAGCAGCTCAACCTCCAGTGTTTTGTAACAGAGAGGAGGAGCAGTTCTTTGGGACCTTTGCATGTATGGCCTCTGTTCTAATGTCTGGCTTGTCAGGGACCAACCTGAGTCACAGCCAGACACAGTCCTGCTTTGAGCAGAGGCCTCTCTAGCATAAATTATTCTGTGATTCTAAACACCATAAAAACATGTTAATTACTTCTTTTAAGTGCTTCTGATCTGCTTCTTCCTTTGCTCCAGAACAAACCTCATGAAGGGGACACAGTTAATTGCAGATCCATGTACAAAAATATGGCTTTTCTTACAGACCATTTCCACTTACCTCTGCAGCAAGGGCACAGCAAGGTGTGCCTTGGTGGGTGACCCCAAACTCAGCATAAAATAGGCCATGTCTTTCTCTGAAAATGTGCTGTTCCCTTTGCCCACCACTTTGCTGTCCCCTTTCCTTTCCCTTCCCTGCACAGTCTTGGCTTCTGAACAGCACATTTCATCTCATCCTCCCCATTTACACCTTGCTGCTGGGATTCTCCTTCCATCCTCCCCAGTTACACCTTGCTGCTGGGATTCTCTTTCCATCCTCCCCAGTTACACCTTGCTGCTGGGGTTCCTCTCCCTGAAATGTAATGCTCAGACATCCCTTCCAGGTTCCCTCTTAGTATTCCCTAATACTAAGCTAACTCTCAGTATTTACCTTTGGTCACTTGAACATATCTGAACAAGGAAAGAGGTTTTTCCTCCCTCTCCAGCTGCAGCTCCCATTAGATACAGCCAGCCTGGCTCCTCCCAGTGCACTGCAGGTCCTTCCCCTTTTTATCTTCTTAAATATATCTCATTGTCCTCCCCATAATAAAAACATCTCCCTGCAAAGCTGTGAGAAGGACTGGCCAGACAGTACCTGACTTTCTTGTGCCCTGCTCATGAATAACATCTGCTGGAGTGACCACAGCCCAAAAAAACACCAGAATGGGTGACAAACACATTTGTTAAAATGTGCTGGTTTGTTCACAAACTCATCTGCTTTTGTTGGAAAACTCGTGGTCCTCTCCTGGCAACACAATCCAGTGTGAGTGCACTGCCTGCAGTGATACTGGGCAGCAAGTTAATACAAAAAAATGTGTAAAAGGAAAGGGATAGGGTCAATGAGAACATGCACAGCAGCATGGCCAAGGCAAGAAAATAACTCCCAGATCAGTTCCTACCCAGCAGCACAGCCCTGCTCCCCCCTCACATACCTGTGTCTCTGTGACAGTGGCAGTTTTGGGGGCCAGAGGGTTGGTGAGGGTAATGGTATACAGGATCACTCTGGTCTGATTGCCATTTTCTTCCTTCTTCCAGGGATTAAAGATAATATCTGAGGGGACAAAACAATATTCCAGTTAAGTTATCAGAGAGGGGTCTCTGGTCATGCACTAGGGAAAGGCATAACAAGCTTGGACAGTATTTCCTTGCCCTTGCAGAGCCTGGTTGCAGAAGCACTAGAGCTCAGCAGAGTGTGAAAGAAAGGGCTCCTGAGCTAAATGGGAATATTTTCCCTTCTTTGAAGTGCAGGGAAAGTTGGAGAGGCTGGGAATACATCTCCTTTAGCAAACCTACAGTTACAGGGAAAGGAGAACCACAACATGTCAGGGGACACTCTCTGCATCAGCAAGTGGAGTGTCTGGTGTGGAGCCAGAAGAGCTTTCTCCTCACACTGCTAAGCCTTTAACACAGAGTCAGGCCTTAGCTGATGCTAAAAAATAAGAGGGTCTGCTTCTTCCATGAATTTTGCTGCTAGAAATGAAACTAGATGGGCAAGCGAGGCTGGTTCTGCCTGCTTTTCATTACTGAGAGCACAGACTGCACTGTCCCAAAATCTGCTCAGAACGTTACCCAATCCCTCCATCAGGCAAAGATACACCTCCAAGGCAGAGATTTTCCTTCTGCCCTGTGCCTTGGCAGGGACCACAGGAGGCTCCCCAGGGACCACAGACTCCCCAAGGACCACGGGCTCACCAGAGAACCGGCGCTGCTCCATGAAGTCCCTCTGGAACTGGGAGTCTGTGAAGAGCAGGTCGTAGAGCTTGTCCACGCTGAAGTTGAACACCTCGTTCACGTACTGACGGCCATTCAGGTCCTCGTAAAAGGCCTGGACTTCCCCTGTGGGGAAACAGGCCCCCATTTCTGAAAACTTTACACCTTTGAATATTCAGCCTTGACATATCTGTCCCCCAGGATCAGGGGGGCTGTGTTTCCACAGCAAAAGGGCCTCAGTATTTTACTTTGTGAAGAAGGAAGAAGAGGGACTTCTAACCCTTGTCCTCCACTGATCCCAGGACAACAGTTGGGATATCAGAAGGGGTAATCACCTCCATAGCTTATTTTAGGGATATCCTTCCAAATACCCCACATATCCACTTTCTGCAGCCCACAGTGGGGATTCTTTGCATCTTCTGAACCCCAGGAAAGGAATCCAGTATTTGCCACTCCAGTCCCTCACTAGAAAGGGTGTAAAACACACCGAGGGAATGGCCCTTCCCCACATACCTTCATCGTGGGTCTCTGAGGAGTCACTGAGCTCAGTGGGAATGTCTTCGTTGTCATTGAAGTCCAGGGAAGGGGAGTTCACAGGGCCAATGATGTCCATCTTCTCTCCCATGATATTTGCAATGCCGAGGTCTTTTTCCACAGGGCTCTCTGCCACTGCCTCCTCCTCTTCTGGGAGCACTCCATCGAACTGCAGCAAGCACAGAGCACAGGGAGGGCAGCATCAGCACCTGGAAACTGGGGCTCATTTCTGAAAACTTTGCATTTGTGAACCAATTGTCTACCCCTGAGTATTTAGCTTTGACATGCCTGAAAAATTAAATAACAGAGGAGGAAAGTTGCCATACAGTGTTTGTAAAACACTGGATATATTGGATTACCTCCTGTCAAACAGTCAGTGTTCGATCTTGGGACACCACAAGGTTTTTTTATCCAGACAAGCACACAAACAATACTAGTTTTGCTCTCAAACAAGCTGAAAAAACCTGAGGTTATAACTGAACAAGGTCTGCTCTGCCATAACACCACGAGGGCACCGCTGAAGGCAGCAAAGCAATGATAACCCTTTTTATCTCCAACACTCCACTCCTTTCCATCTGAGGGCACAGAAAGGAAAATGCACTTGGCTGCTGAGAGTCCCAGGCTTTTAGGACGGGCACACTTGGTTCATTTTTTTTTGGCCACGCAGAGACCTGAAGTCAGTGGAGGAGCAGAGCAGTTCCCTCACACAGCCAAGGAGCAGTGGGATCCCAGGGAGGAGCATTCCCGCTCCCAGGGGAGGGAGGACACTCACCGAGGCTGGAGCTTCACTGCTGCCCGTGGATGTCAGGGTGCTGGCAGTGACAGATTTCTTTGGCAGCTGAGGGCTGGCTTCTGGCTTGGCCTCCATGCTGCTCTTGGAGGAGCTGTCGTTGACTTCGTTCTCTTCCACGGGGATTTCCTCACAGTAGCTGAGACGCCACAGAGAACACAGGTTTTTATATTTACCCCTCTCAGTACAGCTACAACTGGACACACAGAGCAAGTCAGAACAGTCCTGTGAAGTTTCCAGTGGGGCCAAGAAGCAGAAATGGGTCAGTGAAGCCCAGACTTTTCAGTGTTTATACACAGACCAACAAGCATCAGCACTTTCTGACCATGTAACCCTGTCACTGGGATGCTCTGGCATTTGCACATTGCCCAGCTGGCATTTCAATCCCTACCAACTTCCATGAGCAAATGGTGGGCTTTCAGTGTTTCAGGCATTACACATTTAAGGGCAAACCTTTGGCCAGATCCCAGAACCTCTCCCCAGGGACAAGCAGCACTCTGAGGCCTGCAGTATATCCTGCTCTCCTGGGGCCATCTTTTCTTCCTCCCAGGCAGAGTCTCCTCCTCCTCACTCACCCCATTGTGTTGAAGTCATCATCAGGAGGCACATAGTCTTCATCATCACTGGTCAGACCCAGCTCGTTCCCATAGCACTGGTGGACAAAGTGCCAGAGCTCCTTTGGACACAGAGGCTAAAAGGGGATGGAGAACAGCACACATCTGCACCCAAGAACACTAAAACAGAATGACAGTCTGGAATTCCCATTGTCAGGAGTACATTGCTTGCCCTGAAAGGAGAAGTGAGAGATCCTGACACAGCCCCTGATGGGAGGTGAGAGCCTTACACTGGACTCACCTCTGTGAAATTCCGTTTTATGGAATTTATTTTGTTAGGCCAAGCTACCTTAGAGGTTGCCCCCACCAAGCACTAAGAGGCTCTTTTCCCAAAAAAGCCTTCACCATCAGCCCAGGTTCTGCCCTAAAACCTGATTTTGTTATTTTTCCATGCCACAATCTCACATTACTCAAGACTGTCAGAAAGCCAACACGAGGCTACACCCAGAGCAGCACATGGGATGAGATTTTCTACTCTACAATGGAATAATGCCAGCAGCAAACCTGCATTTCCCTTTCCCTCCACAGGTGTTTTCCTACCTCTTCTGCTGTGCTTCCATTTAATATCTGCTAATTTACCAAGCCCCAGTGGGGAGTATTTACAAGGAAAATAACCTTACAAGGTTATTTTGCCCTTCAAGTTTCCTTAAATTAAAGCTACCTAAAGAATCCCAGCTGCAGGGAAAATGATTTAAAGCAGCAACAAAGAAAAACGCTTCCTGTTGCAGTCTGAAATCAAAAGGAGTTTGTATCACCAGATACTTCTGTGAAAAGTATATACTTGAGATAAAAAGAGAAAATTAATTATCCAGAGTGTTGACAAAACCCCAGTTTTTCAGGGATGCAGGTCAGTTGATCACCATATGACTGTGATCTGAGGTTCTTAAAAATGGGGTAGAACTTGTGATTTAAATACGTGGCACAGGGATAAAAAGGGATGGAATTTTACCCACGAGAAACTTATGACCAATGACAAAGATTTCTTGGTAATGAGGGAAAACAAATCCAGTGAACTTTTTCTGAGTTGCCGGCTTGAATTTCTTCCCATAGTAACTGCATGGGATAAGGCAGGAATTTTTTAATCCAGCTCCCAAAAGTAGCAATCAAAAGCATGGGAAAAAAAAACACTCTAATGAGGAACTTCTACCCAGAGAAATGTCTGCTGTTTCACCTTCTCCCCACACACACTCTCATTTCCATGTTTGATCAGGAAAACTGGACGAGGTTCTTTCTCCCCCTCTTGGAAAAAAGAGCTCTGGAAGTGTTTCCTGTCCTTATCACTCCATTTGCTCTGACCTTGAAACCAAGGGCACGCTGAATTTTGTCAGGAACTTCCAAAGGCTCCTCAGATTACAGCACATGGCCCAGCACAAGCAGCCCAATGCAAAGCGATCCCCGTGCATCCCAAATACTCCCCCGATTCTCGGGACAGGGTATTCCGGGTGCTGGATTACTTGAGCCTCCCAGTATGGTCTGAACTCCAGCCAGGGCATCCTGAAACGCTGGAAGCACTGGAACATCAGTTCCTGAGCCTGAGGAGTGAGGCCAGAAATACTCACCAGGCTGTGGAGCAGATATTTGGATGAGATACAGGACATATGGGGCCTCTGGCACAGCAGGAGCACATCCCTGCTTTATTTTAAAACTGAGCCCTGAGTGCACCCTGCACCCACCACTGCTCTCCTTTGGATTTGGGATGCCCTGAACACTCTTTATCTGCCCTGTTTGGAACTCCACACTTCCAAAGCACAGAACTCTGCCAGCACACTGAGCTATTCCTCTTGCCTTTGGAACTGCTTTTTTCTGGGCTGCTTCACTGGAATTACACACTTCAAAAAAATTCCCTGCTGAGACCCTGTTTCCACTCCTTAGCAAAGGCAGGGTGGCACCTATAATGTGTGCACAGAATTCCATGCAAAAAGAAGGAATTGCACCTGCAGTTATGAACATGCTCTGTCTAAAAATATGTGCCTGCTGTCCCAATGTCTTTTGATGCACATGCAGCAGTGAGGTTACATCCATCCCCTCCCTTCCACCCCAGCCAACAGTGGATGGTCTCAGTACCTTGTCAAGCAGAGCGTTCTGCCAGAGTCTGAACATCATCATGTACGTCCTGTCTCGAGCCCCAAAGGAAGTAAAAAAGTGCTGAAAGGGAAGAGACGGGGAGAAAAGTCAGTTCAGAAAAGGCCCAAAAAAGGGAATATGAAGAGACAAGCCTGTTTGGATCCCTTTCCAGCTGCAGTTCATGGAAGGAGTGAGCAAACCACACTGGATGTTTTACCTGGCCCCACATCCCACCCCCCCCACATCCGAGCTCCGTGTGTTCCAGACCCAGCCCTTTCCCCTTGCTGCTGCACGACCAGTCAGTTTGGAAAAATCCCACACCACCCAGAATTCCCCTGCCCCTGAGAGCCATCAGAAGCGAGGGCTTCAAGGACGTACCTTTTCAGTGTCAGTGCAAACTTGGATGGCATTGGGAATGAGCCGGGCTGTCTTCTCCTTGGTCATCGAGCAGATGTCCTTCAAGCGAACGGTCAGCTGTGGGCAGAGCCACCCAGGAAGGAAAGAACACAGGGAAAGACAGGAGATGATGAGAGAGACAATGAAAAGAAGTGCTTCCAGAGCAGTGCCAGCAAACGTGCTGACACAAAGCCCACTGGCACACAGCCTGGCAGCCTCACCAGTGTCTCCCAGCGGAAGATGTTGCTGTAGAAGCAGATCCAGTTTTCCGAGAGGTAGAGGCGGCCCTGCAGGAGGATGTCTCGTTGGAGAGCACATGAGTAATCTGTGGGTGGACAGCAGAGGGTTTAGGAGCAGTAAAACCAGGCAGCAGGACAGCCTAAAGGTGAGGATGAGTGGCAGCACAGAGAGAAGAAGCTGCTTCACACAACCCAGCCGAGCCCCAGCTGCTGCTCCGGCCACTGGGTTATGTTTCCTCCCAAGGGCACGTCACACACAGTCTCTCTCACTGACTGATGATCCTGCCTGATCAGTTGGCCACTCTGGAGCATCCTATGTAGGACTGCCAGATTTAACCTGTCTCCTCCGTTTTGCCTTCTAGTGTCATTGTTCACTTCCCTCCCAGTTCGAGCATCCTCAACAATTCCCACCCCTCTGCTCCGACGTGCCTCGCTCAGCAGTGAGACACAGCCCGAGATCAGCACTTACATAAGAGGGAAGAACAGATGCAGTGTTCTTGCTCTGGGCAGCCCCCAATCAGCTGTGAGGCCCAAGCCTCACTGGGCGTGGGAAGGGCAGCCATGTGAGAGCTGGGAGCACCGGGAAGCGAGGGAATAGGGAAGCTCGGTGCTGTTCACATGGAGACCTGCAACCCCCACCACACGAGGCCACAAAGAACCCTCTAAGACTCTTCTTGAGCACTAGAAGAGCACAAACACCCTGTGAGGTTTGGGGAACACTGGGGAGGAAAACATGCTCCTCGAATCATGAGGGAACCCATCACAAATCAGTGCTGCTCTCCCTGAAGGAAAACGAGTGGAACCCACCCGGAATGGTGAGGAGGGGCTCTGTCTGTGCACAACAGGCTTTTCCTTGGTGGCAACCTCTTTGCAGAAGGAAAAGTTGGATGCATATGTGCTGGATTTCCCCCCTAGCAGGACAGAGCACAGCCCTGAGGGGCTGCACTTACCCACAATGAGTCGCTCCGTGTCCGGGAGCTGCTTGAAGAGTTTCCTGAAATCCTCATTCCGTTGTTTGTATGTTGGACTCAACACCTGCAAATAACAGAGGGCCTGTTAAAGAGAGGGGCAGGCATGAGAACAGAGCCATGGAGAGGGAAAACGGGAACACCTGGGGAAGGAGAAGGGGGGTCAGATGCACTCACAAAGCATGAGACCAGCTCCCATCACAGCCAACACAGATGGGAGGGTTTGGGATTTAGTGCATTAAGTGAGAAGAAGAGGAGAACCTGACTTGGAAGAGCAAGTACAGGGTAGAAGGGCTGCACCCATACCTGCAGCTGGGAGTTGCCTGGAAGCTGTGGCTGCAGGGGAAATCTCCTTCCCTGCAATCCCAAACTGCACAAGGTATGACATGTGCTCTGTTTGCAGTGCATCAGTTAACTGCCAATTCCCAGCTGAGCTCAGCAAGTAGGTGATCCAGCACAGCTGCAGCCCTGCCAGAGGAATTTGAGCAATCCCTGCCATCAAGAGCTCAGGAATACTGCTCTCATCCCAGCCCTCTCCCCATGGAGGGGCACTCCGTGCACACACAGCTATGTGCTGGTGTGGTGAGGACACTTCTGTGGGGCTCAGAAAAGGCTCTCGCAGGGACTAAAGTGTGTCATGTACTTATTTTGTGCCCTGGCCTCATGGAAGGGCTCGGAGAACATGGTGCTGTTGGCTGGAGGGAGACCAGGAGCTGGCTCCTCTCTGGGATTTGCTGAACTACAATGTGAACTCCATGTCAGACCACCTCCTCCACACCCTGCCCTGCTGACAGCTCCCCAAAACAGCCACAACAGCCTCTGAAGGCAGAGCTGCCCAAAATAGAGGCAGGTGCAAATTCCCATCTCCCAGATAATCTGCCACGTTCTTCCTCACACAAATGTAGGGAAGGAGAAGCCTCCTGGGGTACAACCTCTTCCCTCCCTACCTCCCATTTCTTGCCAACAACCTTCTCCTATCTCTTCCAGCTACACAACACAAATCTCCCAGAGCAGAAAGGGCCTCAAAAATCAAAGGTAGCTTCTGTTTGAGATGGTGGTGGGAGTCACAGGGTGGGAGGAATGTAAAGTTTATTTAGCATTAGCCTCACAGAATTGCCAAATGCTGTCAAATCAAAGAAGATTTGATTTTGGCTGTCAAATCACAGACAGCCTCCTGCCCCCAAAAGCATTCCCTCTTCCTCACACCAATTCAATGAACTACAAACAGTGTATTTCAACGTGAGCTCAGCACTTCCAACACTTGCTCCAGTCCTGTGGGCCCAAAGGAAAGGATCTTACTTGGGAATCAAACCCAACAGGCAGCAGATGACACAAATGTGAATTTTACTCACCAAACTTCCAGTCTGAACATCTGGAAAAGATCTTGGTCAGAGACGGGCTCCAGCAAGAGCCCAAGCCCAAGATTTCCAGGAACAAGCAGGGAACGGAGTGGGGAACAGAGACTGTAATCAGCTCTGAGCTTTGGGTTCAGTGCATTAACACAGCCCAGCTGAGCAGCACAGCTTCCATGTGCAGGGGCACTCCCTTCCCTGCACTAAGGGATGGTCCAGCCTGCCTAAAACCTGTCCTACAGCAGATGCTCTGCTCAGCACCAGCAGTTCTGTCAGGGTGGCAAACGGTTCCGTTTAGAGACACTCACAGCTGGGATTCCATCTGATCCAAGGCTCACATTTCCTCGGGACAAGTCGACAAGTCCCTCCAGGTCCCACCGCAGACATGGCAGCTCTTGATCCAGCAAATGATCCCAGAGAGACCCACACTCCAGCAAGGAATCCATGGTGTTCCCTCAGCACTTGCACAGCTCCCCGTGCTCTCCAACTCTGCTTTTCCTGTTCCTGCTCCCGCCGCTTCTTGTTTATGTCCAAAGTCAACAGAGATACAGCAGCTTGGCAGGAGTTTAGGTCCCTTCCCCTGCCTTCCTGCTCACTTTCAGCTCCTCTGCCCCAGCAGCCCCTGAGGATCCTGGAGAGGACTTGCCCTCCAGAGGACTCTCTTCCAAGTGGCTCATCGGGGTAACGGTGCTGGTGGGCGACCCCAGTGCTCTCCTGCTCCCGGCTCAGCAGCTCCTTGCCGTGGGCATCCCCTGCACAAGTGCCCACAGCCGCCCCAGCAGGTCTGTGCAGGGCACCTGCAGCTCCTGATGTCCAGGGAAGGCAGAGCCAGCCACCGAAATACCTCCAACCCCACCGGAGCAGCAGGAACTCACGGATGGAGCCGTGGCTTCCAGGGCTCAACAGGCTGGTAAACAACTCACACTTCAGCTCTTCCCCCCTCCTCTGAAAGCAGAAAAGCAGTAATTCTTCCTCCTCGGTGTCTGCCTCGGGCTGTGCTCTCTAATCCCCCTCTGCTCTCAAAGGCAGCTCCAGTCTGTGTGTGTTTCCCAGGGAAGGGGCGGGTGGGGAAGATCCCAAAATGCCTCGCACATGCCTGGAGTCACTGGAGCCGGGTAATTCCGGCGGCCAATGCCCGGCAGTAACCCAGCCCCGGCCCTGCCTCCCAGCAGATGTTTCCTGTCATGGAAAGTTGCTGGACAGGGTGTGCTGGGGGAGCAAGGAGAGACCAGCCTAAGGAATCAGGAACCAGCCCCGTGAGACCCACACAGACGGGAATCTGGAGGGCTGCACTGCTCCTCTGTGCATCTCTCTCCCCCCAAACAACAACAGGAATTTTTAGGTTTCATTTATTAGTCAGGTCACATTGGAAATGAAAGACAAGGGCTTCCTTGCAAAAGAACTCCCTGCAAGTCCCAGGGAGTGCTGGAACTCCCTGTATCCCTCTGCCCTTAGTGCCCAGGCAGCCTCTCCATCTCCCTGCCCAGGTACAGAAATGCACAGGTAAATGTTCACACCACGGCACCAGTGATGCTCAGCTATGAACAAACAAGCAAAATCCTCGTTCTTCCTAACAAACTGGGCACACAGGTCTCAAAAAGAACCAAAACCAGAAAAACACCAAGCAACCAACCCAGCCTCTGCAGAGGTCTGGTTCCACTCCAGGCCAGTGACTGCAGCTTGCTCACTGACCCTCTGCCTGCTCAGCTGCTCCCCAAAATCACTGCTGCTCCCAGACAGCACACAGGTCTCTCCATTTAGCCCTGTTAAAAGGAACCAGTAGATCCATATGCATCCCAGGATGAGGGAACAATAAAAAACCAAACCATTCTGTAACCTGGGAAGGACTAAGGATTGGGATTACAGGCATCTGCATTGCTTTACTGAATGGCCCTCTTTGCTGGAAACTGCATATGGGATTCACCTATGGAAAAACCCCACCAGGATGGTTCTGTCCACACCCCCACCCACCTGCCTGTGCAGAGATGAAGGACACCAGTGATGGGAAGAGCTGACCTGGAGGTGGAGGCAGCAAACATTAACTCTACTGCAAACAGAGGGAGACGGGACAGGACGGCACTGCCAGGGCTGGGGGGAAATGGGCAGAGAAGGTGACTGCCCACGGTGACATCTCCCTCTTATACACAAACAAATCCTCCCCAGGAAGCCCAAAGCATGACCTGAAGGACAGGGAAGTTGGACAACACAAGAACTGAGAGGTGTGTGGAACTGTACAGCACGTGTCACAGAAAACGGGTGAGGAGAGATGGCAAGAGGCAGAGGGGAAAGGGGGGAGGAAAACCTTATCCAACTTGCATGGCTGATGGACCCGCTCTTAAGCCTTTAGGGAAGATTTACATTGCTTCTGGAAAACTGCTGGAAAAGAACAGAATACATTCCCTGCTTGTGTGGGAGAGTTTTGACCCCACTGACAGCAAAGAAACTGGCCACCTGTCCCACAGCATTTCTTCCAAACCCAGTCTGCTTGCTCAGATTTTTCTTCTTTTTTTTTTTCTTTTTCTCCTTCTAAAAGTGAACGAAGAGCAGGGGAAGATGCTGCAAAGCAATCACTGGCCATCTGGGGTGGAAAATTGGATTTCATAATCACACCAGCTTGCACCAGAAGTTCACTTCTAATTTAGTGGCTCTACAACCCAACTGAGCCAGGCTGGCACTCCATACACCTAAAGAGCTAAGGAAAATCTGAGAGGATGAAAAGCACCTGAGAGACAGCGAGTTAACATTGCTCCAGAGAGGGTTTGATAACATGGTTATGGAACTTCAAAGATGGTTGTGCTGATGTAGAGAGAAAAAAGGCTGTTCCACACCTTGCTCACTCACAGGCCTGGATTTCTGCAGTCAACCCTGTTCACGTGGTTGCTGTTGCTGAGGCTGCCACTCACAGGAAAGGTGTTTCTGATGTTTTCCCTAAAATGATGCATAATTGCTCTTTGTCTTCATAGGGAACATTGGACTCTTTTCAACAGCTCAGTCTCCCCTCCCCTCTGGGTATCTACGAGGTCTCCAAGAAGAAGAGACAGCACAGGGCTGAGTCCTTGTGGTGTTGAGTCTTGTGATGGCTTGAGGTTTTTCTTCAGAAGCTCAAGGGCTGCCCAAAGGTCTCCACAAAGGCCCTTTGCAGCATCACATTTCACCACAGATCCTCAGCCAGCCCCCAACTCCAGCTGCACAGGCTTTCACTGCAGCTTTCCCAGAGGAAAGCCTTGGGCTCTCTCCTCTGCCTGGGTGTGTTTTTGAGGCTCAGAGCTGCCCTGTGTGCAGAGCATTTGTTTGCAGAGCTCCAGGGGCACTCCTGTCCCACTCCGTGCCGTCCCCAGGGCAGACTTTGCTCTCCCAAGGAAAATAGGAACAACTGGGCTCCCACTGATCTGTTCAGACTTACAGGGACAGCAAATGGTTTTAGTGGTATTTAAGAACACTTGACATGGACAATCAGTGTCTTTTCAGTGTTCAGGTCAGTTATAGGGAAAAGCTGTCAGAAGAAAAATAATCAAGCATGTGATAGACAAAAGCAAAGGAAGGGAGTACAGAGTAGGGCAGACCTTGGGATCCCAATAATAAAATGAAAACCCCGTGGACAGATGTAAATCTCACCTCTCCCCTGCTGTCAACTGTTTCCTCTAACTTTTCAAGATCATCTTACTGCCTTTTCCAGAGCATAGTCTAGATTCTCCTGATGCCTGGTGCTACAGGAGGCAATTTAAGAAGCAAGCCTTGCTTCAGAGCAGCAGAAACGCTGCAGAAAATCAGAGACACCCTCCCTAATTTAGGAACAGGGAAGTAGAAGGATTGACAGTCCAACTGGGACAGAAATAGGCAGAAAAAACCACGGCAGACTTGCCAGTGTGTCAGCTGTGCTCTGACATCAGGACACAGGATCTGAGAGCTCCCCATGCTCAGAAATGGGGCCCTCTGCCCAAAGCCCAGAGAGAAGGAGGAGAACGAAGGAGAGCTTTTAGCCTTGGCAGCAAAATATCTCCAGTTTGGCTCTAATTTTAATGACATCTGCTGGGTGACAAATTCCTCCCACCAACTGTGGAGCTCCCGACATCCCCCCACACAGAGCAACTCCTGTTTCGTGTCACCAGGGAAGTGAAACACAAGTTTCCCACCTCTCCAAGAGCAGCAGGTGTGCAAAAAAAGTCACACCTCTGTTTCAATACACAAAATTACTGAGTAAGTTTGGGGGTGAGGTCTGTTCTAATTTTTTAAAATTAATTTAAAAATAATTTTTAAAATTAAAAAAAAAAAAATCAGTTTCCAGTAATTCACCATGCAGACACACAAGTTCCAAAGCCTAAACCACAGCTGAGCAACAGAGTTTTGCTCCATAAGAATCACAATTCTTGTAAACCAGAGTCTCCTTGTCCACAATTCCTCACTGAAGGCATGACAAACACCTCAGGGACATTCTGCTCTTCCACCACGAGGACAGGAACACAAAGCAAACCCCACAAGGTTGAGTATATTTAGATTTATTCTCCAGCTGGGGTTCTCTTCTAAATCTCACAGTGCATCAGGACCAGTTTGCATTTTGTCCTCTGGAAAGCCAAGCACAGAAAGCACACCCAGACCCAGAGAGGGCAGGTCTGCAAACCAATCCATGACCTTGGGTCACCCCTTTTCTCCCACTTCTCAACCTGGCAGGGATGTCAATCCCAAAAAAGCACTGGTAGGATCAAAAGGAGAACACATAAGGCAAAAGAACAAGTGGTATTTTAAGGAAAAAAATAGAGAAAGAGGAATCCAGGAGAGGGAAAAGGGAGGGTCCCAACTGGCAAAGAGGGATGCAGTGCTACAAGGACAAAAAGACCAGTTAAAAGCAGCAGAAACCAAAGTCATCTTAAAAAACTGGTGATGCTCTGGGGATCTTTGAGGACTCTTTGAGGCAAGGGCTATTTTTTGGTTTGTCTGCACAGTGCCTGGCACCCAGGGCTGCTGAGCTGGCACAAAGAACAATGTGGAGGGTGTTTGAGCACAGTGGAATTTATGTAAAATGAAAGTGAGTAAGGGAAACTGTAAGGCTTCATGAAGAGGCAACCTCCACTGATTCATTTCTAGAGCTGCTCTCAGAGGGGAAAGGAATGGAAGAATCAGAAGGGTCCAAATGCCAGAAAAATGCTGCCTGGAAGGAGCTGGCAAAGAAAGGAGACCACACATTAGCAAATTTTTGATGGTAGTAATAATTCCAAGTGGGACTCACTGCCTTCCTGGAGTTTGTGGCCCATCCATATTTTCACACTGCTGCTTTTATCTGGCCAGAATGACTCTGCTAACTAGAACATGGATTTGGTTTTTGGTTTGTTTTCTAAAGGAAAATAATGGGGGGGGGGAGGAAAACCACAAAAAATGCAGCCAGTGCTTACTCTCCGGATGTACTGTCTCTCATGCTGAAAATATATGGAGGAAAAACAAGAGAACAGAAAGATAAGATAGAGAGGACATGAAAACACAGGAGACCCACAGAAGCAGAGCACAGCAAAGCATCATGCACAGGGAATGGAGCTCAGCAGCTACAGGCAGAAGCAGTAATAGCACAAGTCACCTTCAGCTTGGTGACAGGTTCACATTTTGGCAGCAGCCTGCTCAGGCTGGTGCATCTGCATCCACGGTCCTTTACCTGCCACTTCTCCACTAGTTTGGTCTCCCATGGTCTGTATTTTATTCCTAAAGCCACTGCCTCATCTGCTCCTGAGATCACTTCTCCTGTCCGTGCTACCACCCCTGATTATATCCCACAAGCACCTAACTCTGCCTCTCACACCCCTGCCACATCTGACCAGCCAAAATCCCAGGTTCTGATGTCCCAGGCTGCAGGAGGAACTGCTGCTGAACATTAACAGCTGCTGCATTTGCCCACTGGCTACTTGAGAGCACTCCAGGGAGGGGTTCAACTGTGCAAAGGGTGGCACCAGCTCTGCACCACGACACTCGTGCTGGCAGCACCACAACAGGGCCAGGGCAGAAGCAAGAGATGGTTTGTGTTTCTATGGGGTCACCAGAAAAATAACTCCTCTCTCGCCCCCACACCACCCTGAGAGATGCAAAGGGCTTGCAGGGTGGCAGCTCTTGTTTGTCACCTCGTCACAACCCACCCTGTGAGGAACCAGAGACACAGGGTGTGGGGATCACCAGGACAGGGGCTGAAAAGACAAAGCTCTCACTCTCTGTCTCTGGCATCCTTTCCCTCAGGATGCCAGTGCTCCTTTGCCAGTGCTGAGCCATTTCCATCTCTGTTTGGAAAGGGTCAGAGTGCCCCAGTGCCACTGCAAAGCCCCTTTGCACCTTCCCCCCGCCCAGGCCCCCAGCCCACATCCACCCAGGGACAAGAGAAACTGGAGTACTTACATTATACCAACTCTGGCTTTTCTGTAAGGACAAAATAAAAGAGAAGCATTAGTCAGCACAGAGATCTCAGGATCAAAAAGAAAGAGGGACAGAGAAAGCAGGTCCAATCTGGTTTGTGCAATTAGTGGAGTGAGAGTGGGATTAAACAAAAGATTTCAATGGATTCCACAGTGTAGTCTGAACACAATTATTTCCAGTTACAGGAGCAAAGAACAAATCCAGAAGCATGATTCCAGGACAGGGAACAGTTCAGGCTAAGGTGTGCATGTCCACATGCACACACACAGACACACAGGCTGGCATCTGTTCTGCAGACCAGCAGCACCTGCTACAACAGAGGAGCTCATCACCATCATCATCATCATCATCATCATTGCCAGCCGTGTCTTTAGAGGCTTCACTCTTCTGCATTTGCTGGCTGGGTGGCAAAAATCACATTGCTGAACAGCCCCTGTGCAAATAAACCCTCAAAGCACTACTAGAGGCAGGGACTCACAAAAAGCCACCAGGCAAATTTTTTCAACAGCATTTTAAAAGGGAGGCACACACACACACATGGAGCCAGGGGAAGTGCTGAAGGAAATCACTACAAAAGCTAAGCAAGGGGAAAAAAAAAAAAGGCTGGGATTTTTTTTTTTTCTTTTCAAAATTTCAGTGCACAGTGTTTTGCATCATCTGCACATGTGATTTTTTTATTTTTTTTTTTTATCTTTTTGTCCTTATCGTGGCATTTGGGGTGGTTGGAGAGGACAGGCCACATGTCACACTGGAGCACATGGAAGAGCTCAGCTTGGAAAGTCACACAGCCATTTTCAGCAGGAGGTGAGATCCACCTGGCACAGGGAGGAGAAGAAGGAACAAGCTTCCCACTCCCACTCCAGTCAGGGTGGCTTTCCAATGACACTGAGCAGAGCTGACAGGACATGCAGGCATCCCCCATTTTTGGGTGGAAATACCTCAGGGCACTGCAGCCTTTGAGCCCTGAGGGTGCTCAGCTAGAGTGTCCTGCCAGGAACATGTCTCAGAGGCACAAAGCTGAGCTGTCCCCTCTCCCAGCCACGTCCACATTCCTTGGGGGAGCCCAGGAAAACAGACAAGGACAGCAGCAACATCCCACTGCGCTTCCTCTCCTTGAAGCCACCTTGCTTCTGACCTTGGCAGTATTTTTCACTCTTTATACCCAGCCAGGGATATGAAGGCAAACACAAAACTGTTCTCTGCCTTGTAACAGAGAGTTTCACTCGGAGTGAAGCTCAAGCTCACAGCAACACAGAAACCACCTGCACTGGGGTGGCCCACAGAGGACACACAGGATGTTTTACCATAAAAAAGTACATTCAAAGTGTTAATGAGAGCAGACTGGACCCAAGATTTCCGTGAAGACACACTGTTTTCTCCCTGCTCTCAGTTCCCTGTGCCCCTTCCATGCCATTCCAGCAAACACAACCTTACTGGTGTCTTGGATTTCGTTCATGGAGACGTTTCTGAAGGGTATTTTAAAACCTTGGGCGTATCTCCCAGTTTGCCTCACTGATCTCAAAACCCCACAGTTACACAGTTCATGTCACAGACTAAAATACAGCAGTTTGATGTTAAAAAGAGGAACCCCCCTTTCCCCAAATCCCAGGGAAAGGATATGAACTGCAGGACTGAACACAGAGTACAGCTCATTCTCTACCCAAGGAATTTCCTCTTGCTTCCTACACTTTTCCATACCCTCCATTCATGAAGGATCTGCTTGAAGTCATCCCTCCCTGCAAGCAGGACGTGGAAAAAGGTCTTATGCAATTCAGTCTAGGCTAAAAAAAGAACCAGGGTAATTAACCCAAAGCATGCACACAGCACCTTGTCCTCGGGAGCACAGGGCCTAAGATGGAGTGGTTTTCCTGCAGGTTTGTTTTGCCATCTGTCTGCCTTTAATGAGCAAAAGGAGTAACTCAGAAAATTCCTGGGGAAAAGCAGCTCATAATCAAGCTATAATTGGCACACTCGAGGCAGAGGCACTGCTGTCACTGTGCCTTCTAAATCAGGGTGCACACGCTGTGGTGGCAGCACAGCACAACAGGATTTCACTCCCCTCTGTTGCATTAATTGCAGCAACTATTTCCCACCACCACCACATTTGAATTTCCCCAAATTAAGGGGCTTCTCTCTAAAGGAGCCCTGCAGGTTCTCCTTTTTTAAGCTCTTCCACCCCCAAAAAAACCATACTGGCATCAATAAATATACTGAAATCCATAATTATACTGGCACCCAAGCCTCATCTTTTGCCTCCACCAAATGTTCTAACAGACTACAAAAAGTTCAAAGAGAAGGGAGACCAAACCTTTAAATCTCTCTTCTATTTTATTCACCCTTTTATTTTATACTCAGTGACAGAATATAGGGGGATGTGAACTGTGAAAACCAAGAGACAGTAAAATGGAGGAGAAAAAAAAAGAAAAAGGAAGAACATGTTTCTTACTTTGAGCAGGTTAAGTCTGTCATACTGGAAAAAGAAACCATAAGCATTAGAACTGAAAAGAGAAAATAAATAAGTAACAGAGGAATGGAGGTGCACACAGACATGGAAAAGATGGGACTGGTTTGCAGAGATGATGCTACAGGAGCAGAGAGCAGAGGAAGAGCTTTGGAGAACTTGAGCAACATGAAAACTGGAGTATTTTCCCTAAGCCTTCAATTAATGCAGTGCTGCCTCTAAATCTCCGTGGGTTAATAACCCCATATCTGACACAGTGCTGGGGAAGATCCCAGCTTTACACAGTGCAGATGGGAAGCACAGGGGCACACAGACAAAGTTCACCCTGATAGCCTGATCCAAAGGAAGCTCCCACCTTCCAGCAGCACTGGGAGCAGGATCACAGCTCACTCTCACACACTGCTGCTCCCAGGGGAACAGAAAGCTTGTGCCAAGTGCCTGACATGCCACAGAGCTCCAGGAGAATCCCTAAATCCCTTCTGCTGGGGACACAGGTACAGAATGAGGAATATGTTCCAGAGCATGGAATATATTCCAGAGCCCTTTCTCCTGATCTGTGCACTTCCAAAATCTCTACTACCCACCTCTAAACACCCATGGGCAAATAACTCATAGAAATTAATTAAATTTATTCCCCAAACCCTCACCCCAGCCCAAAATGACCAGAATTTCATGAGTTACGACCTAAAGGGGGATTATACCACCCAGTGGGAGGGTGAATGAGAAGACACAGCCCAACTCTTCCCATCATCACACACTGAAAGGACAAGGTGCAACAGTCATAAGCTGCAGTAAAGGGAAATTCTATTTGGGTAGAAGGAAAAAGCCTGTTCACAAGAGTGGTTAAGCACTGGAGCAGGGGCTGGGGGATCTCCAGCCCTGGAGGTCTGCAAAACGTGGCTGGCCAAGACTTTAGACTGAGCTTATCTTACCACATCAGCCCTGCTTTGAGAGAGACCTTCCCAGATCTCTTCTGACCTAAACTGTTCTACAGTGCCCAGGGCCCACCGCAAAATTCAGGTTTTCCCCTAACCTGGTATTAATCCTCAGCATTCCTCATTAGCTATGGGCATTGGGAACAATTTGAAGGACTTGCAACGGAGAGGAAATCACTTTTATCCTCGGGCAAGAGCAAAAGAGTTAAAAATACACATTTTGTTGTTGGCTACTGGCAAAAAAGGTTGGGTTTTCCTGAGTTTGGAAAGCTGTTCCAGAAGAAGCAGCACTACCAGTGAAAGCCTGAGGCTGACACAGACCTAGGGGTGGTTTGGTCCTTGCCACACTGGGGGACAGAGAGGAAAAGCAGGTCCAGGAGGGATTGCCTCAGGATGGAATCCAGTGCTTAAAAACTCCTGGTGAAGCGCTCCCTCTGACGGCAGCGCTGCAGCACGACAGGACACACGGACAAAAGAGGGCAAGGGACTCAAGCAGATCTGTCAGCAATTGTATAAACACAGCGTCAAACTCATGGGCTCAAGCTGTTCCATTTCATTAGCCAGACAGGTTGGAAAATCGATTCCTCCTGCAGGAGATGGCTGGGGGAGGAGAGGAGGCTGAGGAAGGAGAGTCTAAAATCTCTGTCCTTCTCTGCTCCCTGTCTTGAACAACCACCGTCACCTAAGTGGGGAGAATCAGGGGGTTTGTTATATCTGGAATTCCTCATCTGTGCCAAAGAAAGAGCAGAGAACAGGGATCCAGCCTGCACACTGGGTTAGGCTGCACAGAGACTGGGCTTGATCATCCCTGTGGGTCCCTTCCAGCTCAGAATATCCTCTGTGTGTGTGTGTGAGCAGGGCAGGAGGCTCTGACAGGCTGGTGGAGGTCATGCCCAGGATCCCCTTCCCTCTGAGCATCACCTTCCTCACACCGGGACCAACCTGGGCTCCACTTCCCTCTTGTTTCTCTAATTGTCTCCCAGTGGGTGGGTTTTGTTCTCCCAGAAAAGCAATGGGTGGCTGCAAGCACATCACAGACAATTTACACACACATTGCTCTCCACCACTGTTCTTCCCACTCCTAACAAACCTCTCCACAGACATCAGTCCCACTCCTCTGCAGTTATCCAAGCTACAGCTACCAAGCACAAGACAGCCTGTCTAAAAAAAAAAGAGACATAAAGAAGCTTCCAAGAGACACCAGGATTCGTGCAAGGCCAGGCTGGCTACAAGGATCACCACCAAGGGAAGAGCCAGCCCTGCTCCCTGAGGACTTGCCTAGAATGACACCCAAGGCCAAGGCATGGATTTTGTGGGTCATGAAGCCATCCAGGCCAGTCTGCTTTTAACTTTCCCTGCACACATGTGGAAGTGCCAACAGCCTGTCTGATTTTCACACTCTTCTCAGGGCAGCACAGAGGTGTGAGATCCAACCTCAAACGATCTTATCTCCAGTCCAAGCACCCACAGAGGGATCTTCTACTTGTCACCTTCCAGAGGAGCCCATGAATTCTCACAATTCATCTGGGACAGGTCTGTTCTAACAGGTTAAAGCTGGGTTCACTTGAAATCACTGATCTTTAACATTTACATCACACAGGGAAGCGTGCAAGGGCAGTAAAGCTGAGACCACTGGCCACAAAACTGCTGTTCATCATAAAAAGCAGGGAAGAAGCTATGGAGAGCAACTCTTTTTTCTGAAAGTCATGAAGGAAGAGGAGAGAGGGAAGAGAAGGGATTGTGGTTCTGCTCAACCTACCAAATCCAGGGGACTTCTCCCTGGCAAAGGCAGCTGCTCACTTCTAGGGAGGGGGAAAGCAAAACTAAAAGGCTGAAGGCAGTTGGAAGTAACTGAGGGAGCGTGATGAACAGGCCAGTTCTCACTCTGTGTGAGCAAATATTAACGAGATGCCGGGGATTTAAGTGAAACCAGCTTCCAGCTACAGGCACGGGGCTGAGCTCTGCTGGCATTCTCACAGCTGCACCAGGAGAATGCCTGTGACTGGGGTCACCACTCAGCACCTGAGTGACGGGACAATTCTACAGTGGGGGACAGGAGAGAAAAAAGAAGGCTTACTTTGGAGAGGCGCTTGTGTGACTTAATCGGAGAGAAAGCATGCAGGAATGAAAAGAGAGAAATTAGGGAAAGAAGAAAAATTACCTGGCAGATCAAGAGAAGGAAACCCCACAAATCCCAACAGAGAGCAGCATACCCCCCCCTTTTCTCGTGGAAAGCACCATGAATTAAAGTTAAGCTTTAGCAGTCACTGTTTTGGTAAAAATCTCACTCCCATGGCCTTAATTCACAGCACTTTGTGGGCCAGGGCAGTGCAACTCGTGTCTGCAACTCCCTCTTAGCAAGGACATCACTTCCCTGAGAGCAGCCCTGAGTGTGGCCATAAACACAGCATGCCCTGCATCCTGCCTGCCTCCCATCCCATCCCATGGCTTGCTTTTGGGAACACAATGCACGGGTGTCACCCGGTGGTGTTTGTAGGTCACTGTGTGCACAGGAAGCCAGGCTGACCTCGAGGGCAACCTCACAGCTCAAATGGTTCAGCTTGAAAAAACCCTTCTCCCCCCTCTTTTGAACTCACACAACTCCCCTCAGTGGGGAGAGATCAGCTCAGCCCAGGGAATGTGGGCCACTGAATCCCGTTCCCGTGCTGAGAGAGCCCACAAAGGGCAGCAGATGAAGGTTTCTTGTGTGTGACACAGCCCAGCAACAGATCAGGCAGAGATCTAACAGCTCATTCTGTACAAGCCACCAGAGTTATGCCAGAGTTCTAACTGTGAAGTTATTCAGGCCGAAATATTTCACTTCAGAAAGCTGGAAAAACACAAGTGCTCCTGACAGATGACTTAAAACACATCCCTGATAGCAGGGTTACAATCAAAGGTATGTTTGGCTCCCAAGGGCTGTGTTTCACCAGCTCCCACTGCTCGCAGGAAAACCCAGAGTTGCCAAACCTGAGACCCTCTTCTGCAGCACAGCAAAGACAAGGCTGCTTCTAACATGGTCCAAGGACACAAAACCTTTCTAGGGAAAATACCACCTACCCTGGCCAAGCCAGCCCTAACACTGCACTGATCAGAAGGAATGGGCAGAGGACTGGAAAACTGATTCTGTGCAACCTGAGCCTCATCTCAGAGGGCTCAGGCAGGACTGAGAGTGCACAAGCCCTTCACAGGCTGCACAGGGGAACCTTTATTTTTTCCATGGCACTCAACGATCCAGATGACAAAAAGTAATTTCAACAGCTGATTTTCAAGGTCTTTCTCAGAACCACAGAGCCTCCCAGGAATCAAGGCTTTGACTATAGAAAGTGAGGCTCTGGCAGCTGTTAGGGAGCTGCAGTACCAGCCATCAGCAGCTCCTGGACTCAGGTCGCTGCGAGGATGACGGAGCTGTGCTGAAGTTTGACCCCAGCGAGGAGGACTTGACCCTACTTAGGAAAACTTGACCCCAGTTAGGAGAACTTCCAGAAATACGATGGGAGAAGGAGGAGGAGAGTTATCCAGAGGAACAGAAGGCACAGGACAGAGCCAGTGTCCTGCAGCAGGGAGTTCAGCACCGGGGACACGTGCCCACCTCGGCCGGAGCCGCTCGCTCGCTGCTCACCTTGGAGTTCTTGGCCCCACTGCGGCCTGACTGGGAGGAACAGCTCCGCTGGACACCCTGCTCCGGCGTGGAAGGGGATTTGTCTGAGGAGTGGTCCGAGCCCTTCTCCACCATGGCGTCTCCCGGGGCGTCCTGCGGCGTCGGGGAGCGGGAGCGTTTGCGCAGGATCGGGGAGCAGGCAGGAGTGCTGCGGTTGGAGTTACTGGCAGTACTGCAGGGAGGGAGAAACAGCAGGGTTAGCCACCCCCAGCTCAAAGGGAAACCAGCTGCACCCCTGCCCCGAGGTGTGCAGAGCCCACAGATCTCCCCACCAGCAGGGCAGACAAATCTGGCTTCCTGGAGCAACACGCCCAGCGAGTTGGGGCTGCTGACAGTCATCATTTCCCAGTGGCAGAGGAACTGCCAGGCCTGGCAGTGCCCTTCTCCACCCACTCTTCAGTTCATCTGACCACAGACCAACGAACTCATTCTCCTGTGGGCTCCAGCAGTTTCAAGTGATGATGATCTGAGCTTAGAAAATCTAAACTTGCGCTCAAGAATGAGGGAGATGTCAGTGTTTTCTCAACACTCTGTCCCTCCTTAACTTTCTCTTAACTGTTCTCAACAGGATGCATGACAATGGGATCACACTCTGTTAAAGGTCATCAAAACCCAAAAATGCTGGGGCACTGGGAGGGAGGTCATGATGACAGACACTGCAGTCATGAGTTCCTGTACAGAATCATCCTTTCCCACACCAGTTAGAGCTGGGCATGAGAACGTTTTGCTATAACCTGAAACCCTTCATGATTCAAAAAAAAACAAACCGAAGTTCCCCTTTCATAATGGGAAAAGTAAGACCTTCTTGAGTCTTCCAGAAATTATGAGACGTTTAGGAGAATGGAAATTCTCCTCCTCTACCCTCAGTAAATGCCCCAACACCTCAGTCAGAAAGTCAGTAATATACCCATTAATACAGAACAGGAAAACTCAGATTTCCTCACTGGTCCTTCTCTTTTGATGCCTCTTCTTCCTGCCAGACTCTTCATGCTACATCCATTTTCCCCCACGTCACTCATTTCCTTCAGCAGCCATATCTATTTCTGACCAGGCCAAACATCCCTGAGGCTTTTCCAGCAGCCTGCAGGTGCCAGTGGAACCTGGGCTGATCCAAGGATGAATTCTGTGCTAACTCTGCCATGCTCAGTGGTTTGGTACCCTGTTGTCTCTCAGAGCCACATCTGAGTGACAGAAAAGCAGGCAACAGGGAAAGCATGAGGGAATTACAACTGCAAGGGACTGAATTAAAAAGTTGGTACAACCAGACTCTTAAGGGCTATAATTTAAGCCCAATTATCTACAGCAAACTGAAGCTTCCTTCTCACACTCATACACAGTGAGGTACCTAAAAGGGATCGTTTCCTTTCTGAAAATCTCAAAAAGCTGAACACGTGCCTGAGGTTTCATTAATTCCCAGAAAAAAATCATATCCACCCCTTACCTCTGAAGATGCCAAAACCTTTTTACACAACAGATATGAGCAGACAATGTAACACGCTCCTGCAGCAGTTATCAGGCTTGGGTTGGTTTAGCACTGGATGAACTGGTCTCATAAATTATCCTCTATTTGCTCACTGCTTGTGTAAACCCACAAGTGATGAGACTTGCCCTAAACAATCTGCAGAAAGCACACAACCTGTGCAAACATTGACAGAACCAGATTTCACAGCAGCTGGCAAGGGGCAAGAACAGCAGGATGGAGCCCCACAGAAACCCCGGAGAAGATGCTTTCAAGGACACAAAGTGTGCAAGTTCACACAGAAAACGGACAGAAATTGGGTTTGCAAAATGTTCTACGAGCAGGAAGCTGGACTGAGTTACAGACTCTGCTCTGTTACCTGCTTTTACTTAGAGTCATACAGCTAGAGAACAATAAAAACCTGATTGTTCAAATGCAAAGACAGGCAGAGTAATCCCAGCCTTAGCTCGGTTCTTCACGGCTCACAATTAGCAGTGGCACATCTCATGAGTGTCATATATTGTCACAGCACCTTGTCCTGTGTCCTCCCTTTCCCTGGACAAGAAACAGAAACACATGTACAGCACAACTGTGGCAACATTCAAGATTTAAGCCCTCCAAATCACCTTTGAAACAAAAGACTAAAGAAAAGATGATCTGGACCATTCTCCCAGCAGCACTGCCTGCAACAGTTTGGGTATATCATAAAGTCAAACTATCAGGAATTTCTTAGTTATTGAAATTTTATAAAGTATCAGGTTTCTTCACAGACTTGCAGCTGATCCAGTTAAAGTGGGTGTTTCAGCTTGTCTGTTCTGCTGGTGCTCTTTCTCCTGTCTAAACCCACTTTTTAACAGTCCACCAGAGCTACACTGGTGGTACTAAAACTTCAAGTTCATCAGCAATGGTTCCAGTGATGGAAATGGTTCTGAATTGCCATTTCTAGACTCTACACAATGTAGAGTTCTAGTCAAAACCTCTACATTCTGAGGCAGTATTGGTCCTGCTCGCCCCCAGCAGCCTCGATGCAACACAAGCTGCTTTATGTGAGAGGTCCCCAAAAATACAAAGCCAGAATTTGAAGCCAGCGTTCCTGACTCACACATCACTGGACTAATCTGAACAGATGTACTAATTTTGCTTCTACAGCTCTACAAAACCTGAGCTTATCATGCATGACCTCCCTCTCACTTTCGGTTCCTGTGAGTTCATACCCCCAGTTTCACTTTGGGTGTGAACTTCATGCAACCCTATAAAGACCAAGTCAAATTCACTCAAGGGTCTATTGGCTTTCAGGTCACAGCTGTGAGATTTTTAATGCTACTCAAAATGCAAATCACTCAAAACCAGGGTTCAGCTGCATCACGTGCATGTGAAGCTCGGATGAAATGCCCTAGAAAGTTCTAGTTTTACTCTTTTTGTGGTCTTACAAAGCTCCTCAGGTGGCTTTTTCAGTAACAGCTGAGTAACCCCCACAGGGGCAGAATCAACACTAACTACCTTAAAGCTGCCATGTATATATTTGTTCATATTATCATAGCCACGCATTTTCGTGCCAGCCCTGCCAAGCACAGTCTCAGGCAGATTCCAGCTTCCAAGCTCGTTTTCCAGTCATTTAGCATCTCTGGCATGCTTTGAAACACTAAATCCATCCCCACAGATTGTGTTTGGGATGTATGGATTATCACCTTTGCAGGGACGGGGGGGAAATAACTTCAAGGGCACCTTCTCTGGCTCTCCCTGAGGTCAGTGGCAGAGCCAACCGAAGGCAGGAGGGTCTGATTCCTCCTCTGGGTGACTGGGAAAAGCAGAATATTTCTCCCATGAGGGGCTCCACACGCCAAGAGTCTGTTAATTCAGCCTTTCGTGTCTAGGGCGGCGAGGATGGGCCCAAAAAGCACCGGAGCTGCAGCTCCATCCCCCTCTCCTGCCCCTGCCCCGAGCCCCTCCAAACTGCGCTGCTCCTGCTCATTCCCTGGCGTTTGGATCCAGCCCAAGGCACAGCCATGACGAACGCTTTCTGCAGTTGCCATGGCGACCGAGGCCTCGCAATTGAACCGGGGACCGGCGCCTGAGATGCCAAAACGGCCTGACCCACTTTGAAAAAAAAAAAAAAATAATAGTAATAAATAATGCTTTAGAGCCCTAATTGCCCGGAGAGCATTCAGGGCCTCACAGCCCCCCCTGCAGCGGAGCCTTCAGCGGGTGCAACAGTTTAAGTGAGGCACAGAACACAAACAAGCCCACCTAAGCTGCAGCCCCTCGCTCCCAGGGGAAACCCTGCACGGAATATGTGAAAGCACAGAAGGGCTGATTCTGTCTCCTTGGTTTATGTCCTCGCTGTGCCTAAGAAAAACCACCTTGTCCTGGGGTTGGAGCCACAGGAAGAAATACCACGGGACGGGAAAGGGCCAAACTCTGTTCAGACGTGGAGGAAAAGCCTCGGTGTCTGGAGCAGCACAGTAAAGAACCAGCAGCCTTCCAGAGTCTGAAAGGGTCTACAAGGAAGCTGGAGAGGAACTCTGCCTGGAATTGTAGTGATGGGACAGGCAAACTGAAAGAGGGCAAGTTCAGGTTGGATATACGGAAGGAATTCTTGCTGGGAGGGTGGGGAGGCCCTGGCACAGGTTGCCCAGAGAAGCTGTGGCTGCCCCATCCCTGGAAGTGTCCAAGGCCAGGCTGGAGGGGGCTTGGAGCAACCTGGGCTAGTGGGAGGTGTCCCTGCCCATGGCAGGGGGAGGACCAAGATGATCTTTAAGGTCCCTTCCAAACCAAAGCACTCTGTGATTCTACGAGCTTTTCTTCAGGTGGTGAAAAAGGACAAACACTTGGCAATGCACAGACAAGCCACCTGGTCACCCTGGGACACAAGGCAAAACACAGAAAGGCCACACTTCCTCCTCCAACCCAGTATTTTCTGTAAAGATCTGGACCAGCTGACGAACAGAGACTTCACCAAGCAGTCACTTTTGGGAAATGCTACAGCTTGTACTCCACAAGTGAAGCTTGGTGTTTTTACAGCTACAAAGGAACCCTGAGGACTCTGTGCAAGGAAAACTCAACAAGAAACCTGCCTTAGTTCGAGTCTGTTAAGTAAATTCTGCAGGAATGACATTCAAGCAGCCCTGAACTGACAGGAAAGTCTGTCCATCCTACCAGATCTGAAACAACCACCCTGCCTGCCACTGCTACACAGCCAGCCCTGGGCTTGAGACAAGCACCCTGCAACAGTTCTTCCCCAAATTTTGGGTGCCCCAACAGCCAGGAGCCACCCTCCAGAAGAGCACTGTCACAGCACCAGTGGCTACAGCTACACTGCAGGACAGCAGCTCAGTATTCTCTCAGGTAGGGACACACACTCAGATTAGGAGGACACACAGCAAATCCATCGGAACCTGCCAGTTGCAGGATGTGAATTAGAATTCAGCCAGAAGTAATCACTGTGCTGCCAAAGGTTTTGTAACAAGGGCAGATCATCTAAACAAGCAGCAGCTCCACGTACACTGTGATCACCAGCTTCTCAGAGGGTTTCTTCCTGATCTGGAAGTCCTGATCTGGAAAGCTAATTGGCCTCCAAGTCCTCAAAAGAACCTGCTTTATAAGAGTAAATCTGCAGCTGCTCAGGTCTCCCTGCAGCCCGTAGCACCCACCTGATGGAAGGTTCTTCAAGGCCCCAAGTCTGTGTTACAAAATCAAGCTTAATTCTGAAAGTG